CGAAACCATGTAAGATATTTGTCGAAGTCAATGGAATTCATGAATCTTGTGCACATATCAGCATTATTCATATCACTTGGTACATATCTCCATTGTTCAGGTTCTGTAAGTTCTTGTATTTCGCCTACTCGGTGTGATACAAACTGTTTATAGTTTCTACCATCTCCATTGATCCAATGTAATATCGTTTTCGAGTCTGACCATAAGTATAGCAATTCTGAATGTCAAATGATAACTCTTTTTTGATAGTCGCTAGTAGTCTGCTTCCCATAACTGCTGCTTGCAATTCCAATCGGGGTATTGAAAGTGGTTTAAGAGGACATACTCTGGCTTTCGAGGAAATCAAAACTACTTGTATTTCATCTTCAAAAATAATTCTTAAATATGCTGCACAAGCAAACGCCTCTTCGCTGGCATCGCAGAAAACATGTATCTCTAGAAATGTAGCATCCGGAAGTGACGGTGAATAACACCTTGGAATTTGTATCCCTGAGATATGTTTCAAGTCTTCTAGCCATAATAGCCATATTTCAAAAACACTCCCAGGTATACAATCATCCCAACTAATCCCAATTCTACAAATCTGCTGGAGGATCATATTCTTCCTCGAATCACTAGATTAGTTAGAAACCCAAGTGGATCGAATACGGACATAACAAGTCAGAGAACTTCTCTTTTTGTTGGTGTTTTTTGGCCCATCAGTATTTCATCAGAAACCTTATGAAATTTCAACTTGAAGGTGAAGTTATCTGTGGTCACATTCCACCAAACACCCAGTACACGGTCAGTTACAGACTTGTTCAAATTCCTCTCATCTGTCTTCAATTTTTTTTTTTTTTTTCCCTCCCTCTTGATGAAGTCGTCTGATTTCATCCACTTTCTTAACTGCATCCTCCTCATTCATGCAAGAGTCCAAATAATCATCCACATCTTCAGTCAAATGGGGATAGTTTGTCGACTTTCTTGCGTTCAAATTTTTTACAAACTGTGCAGAACAGGGTGAACATGTAGCACCGAACGTCATCACTTCCATTTCGTATTCTTCCATTTCTTTGTTCTCATCACCATTGCGCCATAAAATCCTCTGAGCACACCTGTCTTCTTTGATTATTTTCACCTGGTGAAACATTTCACGTATATCTCCACATATCGCCCATCTCCAACGGCGGAATCTCAATAATACTCCAGGCAAAGATGTCAAATAATCAGGACCTTGAAGTAAATTGTCATTAGGACTGATACCATGATTCTTGGCAGCAGCATCAAAAACAACTTTGAATTTATTTGGCTTATTAGGGTTGAATACTGCGAAGTGTGGTAGGTACCAAAGCTTTGTCGAATTTGTCTGTATTTCATTATGATCTAGGTTTTTTAAATACTTCTTATCCACATACTCTTGAATTTTCTTACAATATTTTTCATGGTAGTCTTTATCTTTGTCCATTTTTCTCTCTACACACAACAGTCTTTTCACAGCGGTGTTTCTACTTTCTGGAAGCAAAATATTATCGTATTTCCATAGTAGTCCGGTTTCGTATCTGTTCTCTCCGGTGATTTTCCTAGTCGTTTTCTCTAGCAATTCAATAGCCCTTCTTTCTTCACGGTTTATTCTTGTATTCGTCACGGCAACTCCGAAATTATCCGTTGAAAAAGATTCTCTAATGAGTTTTTCTATATCTTCTTCGTGGCTGCAAATATGTAAAACAGTTGAACTATATGTATCTTCTCTCTTCGTTTTTCCATGTACAGTCCAAAAAAGTAGACATTTTGTTGCAATAGGACTATTTTCACTACCCTCATATACTTTCCTTGGCACTATCAGATTTGCATTGTCTTGGCCGATAAGTAAAGAAGGTCTTACATTTAATAGATTCTTGATAGGTAAACCAAGGAGAAGATTTTCTTCAAAATCTTCTAGCCTGAAAGTCTGTTGTGGCAAAGCAAAATTTTTAACAGTTCTAACATTTTCCATGCTGTACATTTTTGAGCCATTTTCTATCGCTGATATTTTGAAACTAATAAGCCGAGAATCATCATTGTGCTTAACAATTTCGCTGGCCCACTGCATGCAAAAAGGTTCATTTCTTCCATGGATACCAACTCTTTTAGCCATATCAGCTTCCATAAGTGATACTGTAGAGCCTTCATCGAACAATGCATACATTTCCAAAATTCCAGATGGTCCATAAATTTTCACAGGAGCAATTCTTAATAAAACTCTTGGATTTTCATTTATATTCAAAACATTTTCTTGTCTGTTGTCGATAGTGGAAAGTGGTGTGTTTTCTGCTGAAAGTGTCAGGGTAGGATCCAGTGATTTATGCAGTAGGTAGTGGTGACGTTTTATACAGCCATCCACACCGCATTTTCTTTTTGATTTGCACTTATTCTTCATGTGATTGATCCCTAGGCAGCAAAAACATGCTTTCAATTGAACTACTTTTGCCCAACGTTCATCAATAGGGTCACTCTTGATAACAGAACATTTGCTTATGTGATGATCTTCTTTGCAATAAATACATTTTACATTGATTGTATTCATCACATTTTCATGTCGTCTATAATTGAATGGTTTTGAATTTTGATTTGTGAACTTCGGCGTGCTGATGCAACATGCTGCTGTGGCAATAGTGTGGAACCATGCAGAAAAATCTTTCAGTGATACTTGCATTTTCATTTGTTCTTTCTGATATACAATTTGGCCCCACTGAATTTTCAAATTGTTTGGTACCTTCTCAACAATTTTCTTCAATAAAAATGGATTTTCCATATAGTTCCTTGCATCTAGCTGATCTAGTGTCGATTCTAAATTTCGAACCTGACAAGAAAATTTGATACAAGTCTCGAAATCATTGTCTTTAATCATGGGAAAAACTTCTACTTTGTTGATCAAAGACTCTATAATGTATTCAGGTCTTCCGAATCGCATTTCTAGAGTGTAAATAACTAATTCCACATTCTTAGGATGCAACATCATTCCTCTCACACATTCAAGTGCATCACCTTTAAGACACTTCTGTAATTTAGCCATTTTTTCATCATCTGTGTACTTACAGACTTGGCTTCTTCGTCTATATTGTGAGATGAATAGTGGCCAAGATTGTTTGCCATCAAAAATAGGAAATTCTTTATCAAGCACTTGCCTGTTCATTAATCCCTCCACTAATTCTGGATTTTGTGCATTTGTAACGGCTTTCTCTATTACTTGGCATAGTCTAGTCAATGAATTTTCACCTTCCATATCAATTTTATTTGTAGAACTTGTACATGCTGCTTTTTCGTCTTGGCATTCTTGAAAATTTTCTTCAATCCATTGATGTACACCTGCTGTGTTATCTGAGCAATATGTTTTTCTTGATTTCACGCTTACTTCTTCATCTTCTGATGTTTCTGCTAATTCTGCTTCAGCAATATCTTTTTCTAGGTCTATGATTCTCATTTTTGCTTCTATTTCTTGTCTAAGAAGTTCTGCTTTCGCTTTCTCAGCTTCAAGAGTTAATTTCTTTCTTTCGATATCAGTTTTTGAAGATCTTGAACTCTTTGTATACTTTGACCTGCTAAACTTGGTGCTTGCCTTTTCAGTATGGTGTGATTGACTTCTTCCAGCAGTTGATTTAGCGCATTCGTTGGTCACGAAGCCTTGAAGAGGAGTTAAATCTTCCAATGAATCTTTTTTTGACATTTTCGTTTTCTTTTCTGACACTTCTTGTCCGAATTGAAAATTTTTCGTTTTTCGGGATTTGGAATCTTCCCAATGCTGTAAATCTATCTTCCACGTTCAGTTCAACGTTAGCCGAAGGACCATGTGATAAATTGGAACTATTTTGTATAGTAAAATCAAATTATAGGTCAATGACAACTACACTTTTTCAATGTCTCAATTCCAATCTCTTTATTTTTCTACTGAGTCATACTACAACCAAAATTTAGGCAAAAATTACGAAATATTCAACAAATTCCCTCTTAAAATTTCTGTCATGTTTAATGCAAAGTTGATGTATCGTCTAGCATTCAGGAGCGAAATTTATTTAAATGGATTTTTTCAGTACTAAAATGATGACAAAGTCTGCTATCGAAATATCATCAACCGACTTTATGTATCTAACCAAAATATAGGACATTTTTGTGGAAGTTACAATTAGAAGATATCAAAAAATTAAAAGAACTAAAAAGTAGCAATGTGACGTTCAAATTCAAGACACATGTGTAAAATTGGAATAGAAAAAATTTTTCTTGGTGAACTATATTGAAATTCAAACAAATAAGCCTATTTTCAGAAATTAATTTGAAAAAATATCACTTGAGATGTAGCTAAAGAAAAGTGTCTCCACAGAGTACGCCATTTTTCATCTTTCTTGAAGCAAAACTCAACGCCCAAGTGAAATTGCAAAATAAATTATTGTCAAGTGTTTTCCATAATTATGATGTCAACTTTATGAATAACATTGAAGATGACAAAAACAACTCTTCATATAGTACTTACATATCAACTCCTCTCCACCATTTTGGCTATGTGGCATTTCTCATCAGTCACACTGTATATCATAGTGGATTTCCTGAATCCCTTTTTTGCCGTATGGGCTACTAATGATTAAATAACCCTCTGGAAACTATTTCTTGATAATTAGAAACTTTTCATTGACTTGACAACCCAAAAATGGGGAAGAGAATGGAGATTTTTTTCTATTAGTATTCTTCAAGAGACAGCTGATTCAAGCAATCGAATTGGTCACACATAAATAATAATATTACTACCTACCTATGTATAATTGAAGAAGTCATGCCATGGATGAAAATTACCTGTCACCACCATGTCAGTATTTCTCATGACTAAAGAGGTAAAACGGGCAATGACTGCAATCGTTTTTTCTCTAACCGAGCATCAAAGTATGAAATATTGAACATGAAAATTTTGTCTCAAATTGACTCTTGAATTATTGGTGATTATGTAGGAACTCAGACCTAACGATGAAAAAAACTGTCAAATAAAACACAAAAAGTTTTATCAATATTTTAATTAATTAAGATCTCTATCTTCTAAGTATTTATATTCAAATGTAAAGCCTTCTTTTTTCCTTTGTCCCCATTTTTCATAGTCAAAATAAATATAGGTGCCCTGAAACAAAGAATAACAACAGTTGTAATATTCATTCATCTAAGATTCATTAGAGGCAGGTATCCGTTGAAAAAGTGGTAGGTACAAATATGTTGACCGCTGTTCAGAGTTGAACGAAATTCATACAAGTAAAACTGCTTAGTGTCCTACTGGGGAATTGAGATGCGAAAGTAGTCCCCTCTGAACAAACTCTGGAAACGGTCATCTAAGATACGAATTCGATTGAATAGGAAAAGTTACGCATTCAGAGGATCGTTACTACAGCTTTCGAAAATTTTCTGAATTATTTATACACTCAGTTCCAAAAAAAGTGACGCACTTGATATTTTACCTATCTTCTTAAAAAAAAATAGTAGGCCGATTTTAATCTTTTTTTATTTGTTGGTAGGTAATGCATTTGTCTTTAAAAAAAAATAAAGAGGTGAAAATTTTTTCAAAGCCTCCTTGATGGTGGTGGAATAACTCGAACCATGATTTATTCTTAATTTTTGACTCACCCTGTGTGTTAATTGAGTAATGGTATACAAAGTGCTTGCACCCTATACGAAAGATGCTTCTTTTGCGAGCACTTTGTTTTTTTATTCATTGATTTATCTCTTTCACTTTATTCACTTTCCGAATTACAGCTTTTTTGCTGATACCTTACGCTTATCCCACAAATTAAATTTATTGAAGGATCAGAGTACTCAAAATTGATTGGGTTGTACTCTGGTAGGATCACATTGTCTTTAAAAAAACAAATGCCGTTGCCATAGCAACTAATTTGTTGTATGCCAAATTCGTGATGTTGCAGTAAGTAATCAGGCATGTAGACGTCTAAAAGAAGTTAATTTTGAAGCTAGGAGACCTGCAAAAGGTCCCAAATTATTGCCCGAACATCGTGCTGCTAGAAGAAATTTTGTTGAAAATTATGGACAGTGGAATATTCCTCAATGGTCGAATGTCTTGTTTACGGATGAGTCAAGGTTTTGCCTTAACATGGTGGATGGAAGAAAAGAGTGTGGAGAAGAACTGGTGAACGGTTTAATCAAAATTTAATAACAGAATGCGAAAGTTTTAATGGTGGGTCCGTTATGGCGTGGGGAGGGATTTCAATGAATGGAAAGACACCCCTTCATGTTTTTACGGTGAGACAGTCGATGAATGCCCAAATTTACATTGACATTTTAGAGCAGTATGTTTTACCTTATGCAGAGTTAGTGGGCAATAATTTTATATTGATGCAGGATAATGCCCGACCACACACCGCAGCAATAGTGCGAAACTTCTTAGAAGCTACTGGTATTACCACATTACAATGGCCTGCGAGAAGCTCCGATATGAATCCTAGAGAACATTTGTGGGATGAATTAGGGAGAAGGGTACGTTCTCGCGAGATATCTCCGGAAAGTCTCGCAGAAATGGCAGATGCATTAGTGGAAGAATGGGATCGTATACCTATGGAAACGATAAGCAACTTAATTTCCAGTGTGCCTCGTAGATTAGAAGTTCTTACAGTTGCTAGAGGAGGCAATACACGATATTCATCCCAATTTATAATCTTGTGTTTGATAAAATTGTTTTTTAAAATTATTGGTATTAGTTTATTTCATTAGAAAATTGTTTCTCGATAAATTCAGGAAGTTGGTAATCTGCAAGGATTCAGCAGAAAAAGCTGTAATTCGGAAAATTTTAGAGATAAATCAATGAATAAAAAAACAAAATACTCGCAAAAGAAGCCTCTTTCGTATAGGGTGTAAGCACTTTCTATGCCATTACCCAATTAACACTCAGGGTGAGTCAACAGTTGAGAATAAATCATGGTTCAAGTTATTCCACCACCAAGGAGGCTTTGAAAAAAATGTCACCTCTTTATTTTTTTTAAAGACAAATGCATTACCTACCAACAAATAAAAAAAAATAAAAATCGGCTCTTTTTTTCAAGAAGATAGGTCAAATATCAAGTGCGTCACTTTTTTTGGAACTGAGTGTAGTTTGCCAGTAATATGGGAGTTATTTTTTTCATCTATTTTTTTTTTTAATATGGTCCTAATTATATGTGTTCACATATTCGGAAAGCTTGTTTCATTCTAAATACAACCATGTTTTATCCAAAGTGGTGTAGCAGATCAAATACCCCTGTATATCCGCATGTGTGACAGCATAACCGTTTAGGCTATTTTCTTCATTTTTATCATCGCTGCCTGTTCCTGTTTTTATCAAAGTGTGTGTTTTACTTTTTTTCGATGGTTCCTGCATGACGAAATATTTTACAGTGGGTACTCAGCTGACAGTACCTGTAGCCGACTTTCTGGGCGTTGGGGTGTTGTTAGCTAGATGGCGTCCCCTGGAGGATTTGATAGATTTGATTTAAAATTATTGAATATTAAAGCGCAGTTTTTTGAAATTTTATGCACTATTTAGTCTATTTATCTGAGTTAATTTTCTGAAATACCAATACCAGGCCCGGACTTAGAGAATTTCAATCTCTGATCTCTCAGAAAAAGGACACTCTTTACAATTGAATTTTTGATATCTGCCTATTATTCCTGAAACTACATAAGTGAAAAAAAAGTGAATAACTCCTTTAGCACTTTCAAAGTAAAATATTGCTTTTACATACCATTTATTTTCTTCTACTTGAAACTAAAAACAAAAAATGAAATGAAATATCACAATAAATGTTCAAAATGCATTCCACCTTCCTGCATTTTTATGCTTGAATAAATTTCCAATCGAAATTAGAATAATTTCGAGATTTTGTCTGATTTTCAATACTGGTCAACAACTCTTCTCTGTTTCCAATGGGGTGTAGACCTTTTGTTTCAAATGTTCACACAAAAAATTGAGAGGGTTTAAATCTGGAGACTTAGCTGACCAAGGAAGTGGCCCTTGCTCCCGATCCAACGATTTGGAAATTGATTATCTAGGCGTTCCCTAAAGTCAACAGCAGAATGAAATTTAGCACCATGTTGACAATGTATTCCACATGAATCAATGTTCTCTAGCAAACCAGGCAAATTATTTTGAACAAAGATCATTAATGTTTGAGAAAATGCATAAGGTCCAATTAATGAATTGTTGATCATACCACACCAAACATTAATTGAAAATGAAAGTGAAAAGGCTTGTTTTTTTTTTGTGCGAATTTTCATTTATCCACACATGAAAATTTCTTGATTTAAGAATAACGTCTTGTGTAAACTAGGCTTCATCTGTGAATAATGTCCGAAAAACCGTGGTTTTGTGGTTTGTAATCCATTTGGAGAATGCAAGCTAAGGCATTTGGTCACCTTCTTCCAACCGTTGTACCTGCTGGATGAAGGTGCTAAGTCTCATGATGGAAAAAATGAATGTTATGAATGTGAGTACGAAAATTTCATGTTAATTTTTTTTCTGAATATTCAAAGAATTAAATAAATGCTACGTTTCTCGGACAGCCATATTTTATTTTGAAGGTACTTAAAATGTGCCAAAAGAGCTATTCACATTTTTTTAATCATCAAGGAATAATGAACAGAGATCGTAGATTCCGATGTGAAGAGTGTTCTTTTTTCAAGATACCTTAGATTGGAATTCTCCAAGTCCGGATCTGGAATTTGGATACATTTGGTATTTCAGAAAGTCAACTTCGATTAGTAAACTAAGTGTATGAAGTTTCAGGAAAATTAATCAGAGGATTGGAAAGATACAAGGTAAGATGACCCTGTATCTTGGTAATTTGTGGAAATTAGATGATTTGTCACAAATTGTCAGTCCGTTGAAAAAATTCCACTATTAGAAATCTGAAAAAAAAATCTCACTAATGGCCAGTGAAATTTAGGTATTTGAATTCAACCATTCTTGAGTTATTGCGAGCTAACGTAGCTCAACACCCTGTATCTTGAGAACCTTATATTCCTACCAAATTTGTCATCGAATCACCGTAAAGCGTTGTCGGTCAAATTTCGATACACCCTGTATACACCCTGTATATATGTCATAGGTAAAAACTGTTGACTACTTCCGTTTCCCAATGAAACGCTCAAAGGATAATAAATAGAATATTTACCTGCTCATATTCTTCATTAATAATCTTGGGCTCTTCATGTCTTTGAAACCACATCATATATTTCGTATGAAACCTCCAGCTTTGCTTCTTCAGTGCTTTCGCAGCAAGATATTGCGCTTTTGTCCCCTCCATGTAATAGAACACGAAAAATAGAGTTTCAGTCGCTAATCTCTGATAGAAGTCAAGGCTATCTGAATGCGAAAGGGGCGATTGAATGTAATAAGGAGGTGTTGTGCAGGGACTCCTTGGAAGATATGTTCTTATCTTTTCTGAGTCTGAAGGATGTGGCATGTGATAAAATGCTGATTCCATGAATTGAAATTGCGTCTGATGCTCTTTCTGTAAAGGAACTGCCCCCAAAGGTGCAACTCCAAGGAGGGGTGGTATGTGAGCATCTGATTTGCCTTGATTCTGAGTTTTGCTTGTCTCAAGAATCACTTGGTTATTCTGGAGACCCGCCTGATCGATGACTTGTTGCGCCATTGACTTGAGGGATGTCATTCCATCGGAAATCTACAAATCAATTTTATTATCAACACTATATGTATGGTCTTTCTATGCAAGTAATATACAGGGTGTCCGCAGATCAATGGTACACAGCACAACTGCAGATTCCTTGAAGGAAAATATTGAGATTAAGCCAAACTCACCTCAGTCCAAAATTTGATAATAACAAAGATACAGAGTGACAAAGTTTCAATTCGTATTTCGTTTTTTCACAATAAATCATCAAATTTGGCATCAGGAGGTTTTCTGAAGCAAGAAATTCGAATCCGTTCTTAGTTTGGATATCACTGTGTATTAGGCTAAATGTTGGAGATTATGTATTGAACATAGTTTTACGTGAAGAAGGCATACTTTCCAAATCTCTCTCCGAGGGACCGTTTTTGAGATATGTGCGTATCAATTATTCAATGCAACTTCGCAAATTCCCAATTGCATTTTTTTAAGTAGGCTGTGATCAAATAAGACGCAATAGCAAATGTTGAGTGAAAAAATGTAATATACATAAACTTCAACATTTAAACTAATACACCGTGACACAAAAAGTTTAATAATTTTAAAGAAATCAATGTACCGTAGGTGGCGCACTTTTTTGTGTCACGGTGTATTAGTTTGAATGTTGAGATTGATGTATTTAAAATGTTTTTACGCAACGTTTATCATTGTATCTGATTCGATCACAGCCTGCTTAAAAAAATTCAGCTGGGTACCTTATAATTGATACGCAGATATCTCGAAAACGACCACTCGGAGAGACATTTGCATAGTATGCCTTTTTTACATGAAAAAATATGTTTAATACATAATCTTCAATATTTCGACTAATACAGCGAGACACAGAAAAGATAAATCATTTTAAAGAGATTTAATGTGCCATAAGTGGCTCCCGCTACGAGTGGCATCCAAACTAAGAACGGATTTGAATTTCTCGCCTCAGTAACTTTCTAGTACCGAATTTCTTGCTGTTTTGTCACCCTGTTGAATTATTCAGAAAAAAAGAAATGGAAAATGAAACTTCGACACCCTGTATCTTTGTTATTATCAACTTTTGGAGTGGGGTAAGTTTGGCTATATCTCACTATTTGTATTCAGGGAATCAGCAGTTTTGCTGTGTACCATTAATTGAAGGACACCCTGTATACAGGGAGTCCCTAAATGGTCTATACGAAATCTCAGCACATTCCTGGGGTCGAAATAAGCAACTTACCTCAGTCCGAAATTGCTTAATTTCCGAGATACAGGGTGGTTAAGTTAAAAAATAAAAATAGAATTTTACAGAATGTATGAAAATTTTTCAACATATCACTTCAAAAATTGGTAGTCAGAGGCTTTTCGGGATGCGAAACTCGAATACGGACACCGTTTCACTGTCAGCTAGAAAAGTAACATGTAGTATAAGAGGAAAACAAAAAAATGATCCATCTTCTCATGGGAATTTAGATGTATCTCTTCGAATAAAATATATATCTTTGTTACACAGGTGGGGCTTCTCAGACCCCAAAGCTGTTTACTGCACTGTCACTATCTTGGTAACTAACTAAAAATTGATTTCGCACCAGAATACGACAGAATAAAGTGTTTTAGGAAGCTGTAGGCAACCAAAGAAATGTGCATGCATTCAAATCGAAATGCCAGTGATTTAAAATTTTGTCAGGCTATCTGAGACCCCACCTGGGCGACGCCGGGTTAATCGAACAATAGTGCGTCCACAAACTTCTTTGTGAAAAGAAATATCGAATAAATAAATACTTCTCGAAATCTACTCTGATAAGAATATTTTCGAGGTAAATTCGACATTGCCTTTCCATTATTTTATCTCTCATTTCGTTATCGATGAAAAAATTGATGCAAAAGAGGGTCGGATAGTACTAGATGAAATCTTCAAAATGAGGTATCCCTATTCAAAATCTGGGGGTTCTGCTTCCTTCTGGCAGGGGGTCGAAGTTACGGGGATGAAGAAAGCAGACAAGTCGTTCCCCCTCGAATCAGAAACCGACGGATGCGATCGTTTTTCCGGATTTTCATTTTAGAGCCTCAAAATCGGGGTGTAAAGTTTTCGCTCTATCACTCTGTATTTAAACCTGAATCCAAACCCCAAGAAGAAGCCTAAAGTTATAACCAGGAACAATGCCATAATAATGATAATTGCTGGATAGGCTGAATATGCTATCAAACAATGTAAGTAACTTTGGGCAGGTCAAACATTTTCAACATGAATTTTATAGTGTTGAGATATTTCTCAGATAAAAAAATGTTGATACATATATCAAATAATTATTGTCCTATGTAATAATTAATATTCAATATATTTTAGATATAACCTTCAGCAAAAAGGGTCCACGGGGGCCTACTTGCTAGGGAACCGCCTCCCCTCAATCTCTCTTACTACTTACTTAATTCTTTGGTATGTCATTGTCTTTTTGTTTTCGTAAAATGAATTGGAATGAATCAATTGTGAATGTTTGTTTAATGTGATGTATATTCCACATAGACGAATACATCTCTCACTTCCTTTATACGCCTATACGTTTGTGCCTTGTACTGGGTGTCCTAACTGAATATTGACGGCCATTTTATGGAAAACAGTTGAAAGAACATGTTGCCGACATGATTGAGAATGAATGAAGTATCCTTCTGTACAATTGAGTAATTAAAACTGCGTCTATATTTTTTCAATATTTATGGATAGCTCTTGGGATCTTGAGTTAAGTTACTAATATACTCAAATCACAGAAGAAATTTATTTGAAACGAGCTCGATGTAGTGAAGCCAAGCATTTTTCAGTGGATAAAACATGTTTTTAAAGGCAAGTGAAGGAAACAGGTGAGGTGATTGGGCACAGAAAATTATGTTTATCAACTTATTCTATTCTATCGAAATGTTTTATTGTCAAATAAATGCTAATAGGATACGTCAAGAGAGCTCAAATTGAAAACTGTAAGTAAGAGGTGAATCTGTAGGGACAATCTTGTAACGGGTTGTTTCAAAATGATAGCTTACTTAATTTCTATCCTTTCTGAACATAATTTTCTTTCCTGGTGACACACGATTGCAAATTACTGTCCGGTAACACAGGAATGAAAATGTTGTACATACAGTTATTTACGTATTGAGGGAGTAAAATAGGCGTCTATGGCCTGCGGCGTGAATAAAGGTCGGATGACTTTAGCCAATGTCGGGTGAACGCAAGTATCATAATTGTTTTTACTTTCGATTGTCAATCGGTTTCTCCATGGAATGCCTTATTCACAGTGAGATTTCTTATCAATAATTGTTCATCCCACAGATACATTTATTCTCAAGAATTGTATTGTATTGAGCACTGGCAACAGTGGAACGAAAATTGACAAGTGTCAATGTCAATGTATTTTCCGACAGTGGCACTGACACATGTCTTGCCTTTCTTGTATTTTTCCACAAGAGGAATAAGCATGTATGTAGAATGCTGAAATGATATATTCAATCAAAACCATATTCAAGTAAAATCATCGAGTGTTTATTTAGTAGAGGATTTATCAATAATCATCCTTTTGACTGGTACATTATCGATACAATAGTATGAGCTAACTGAAATCAGTATTTAATAATTTTTACAGAATAATTTGGAGAAAAAACGAGTATTTAAAAGACTGAAGAATAAATGTAGGTATTGAAAAATAATTTGGTAGATATACCTACTCATGATTGGAAATACAATATTTCACTGCAATACTGAAGGATGATAACCTGAGTAAGAAAAACTACCAACTATACACTGTGTGTCCGTAAAGTATGGAATAAATTCGACATTTCCTAAACTAAAAGCCTTTTCAATGAAATCTGAAACACATCAAATTTCAATCCTGATGTTCTACATTTTACCACAAAACTTTATTTTACATGGTGATACACATCAAGGTGATGACGTCATCGGAAATTATTTTAAATGTAACAACCTATATTCTGTGACATTTCAAGATCAATGAGAATGAGCTGATTCCAAAAAGGTAGAGGTTACAAAATACAGGGTGTTTCATTAAAAAAATTGCCAATGACGTCATTACCTTAATGTGTATCACCATGTGTAATGAAATATTGTTGTTGAATATAAAACATTGGAGGTAAAAATCGACGTTTCAAGTTTTCTTGAAGTGGCTATTAGTTCCATAAATATCGAATTTATTCCATATTTCAACTTTACGGACACAGTGTATACTGAAATTTTCAATCACAAGTTCACAATAAACCTGCGAATATGAGTATCAGTAAAAAACGGAATTCGGATTCTGTCTTCAACTGACTAGAATACACTTTAGTAACTTTTTTTATGTAATTTAATTTTTCAAAATCATTTTGTGAAGACGAGGTTTCTCTTACCTTTTCAGATGATGGACCATTCGTTATAGGTTGTGATGCATCAATATCCAAGGATAGTACTTCAGTATTACTAGTCGTTTCAGGACTCAAACAATTGTTTTGTAGATTATGTGGTTCAGGATACAATATCTCAGGTTGGTTTGTCGAATTTTGTACAGCCTATAATATATAGAGATAGTACAAAATGACAAGAGAACACAAACAACTAAAATTCATGAATGTTTAATATTAAAATGTAATGGGTCTACTTACTAATGACGAAATGGGATTTGTAAGAACCAAACTATTAATGGCATTAGATGTAATTTGTGTTTGAACTTGACTAACAGTAGTTATCACAGATGCAGGATTGCTTTCTCCACTCGCTGCAATGAAAAAAATAATGAAACTAGATCGGAATGAATCGATGACAGAGAAATATCATAATCGAGTACCTTTTCATTTAAAATATCAACAATGTATTATAATTTCGTCACCCAAGTAAAAGGGAGTGTATTCAAGTGTCAATTCCTGAATTTGATTGAGAAGCAGAATGTATTTTCAATTCTTCATTTACGGAATATACAGGGTGTTTCCTATCTACGGTACGAAACTACAGAGGATGATTCGTTGAATCTTTTCAAAAAAGTGCACATGAGCGTTATGTCCGGAGTTGCTTCGTGTTGAAGATAAAGGGCATTGAAGGTAAAGAAAATGGTATTTATAAAATATAAAATTATGAGGCCTAGTGGGGTCGCAGTGGGCACCACAGCAAATGATATCGTGGAAGAAGTAAGCCACTGACCTTTTTGGAGTTCTTATTTTCTCAGATAAAGCAACTAAAATACAACTTTTTATTTTTATTCAATTCCGTTTTCTTCATTTTGTAGGAAGAAAAGATGAAGCCCCTTCATCAGTATAGTATATCTCGTCTCAAACTTGATACTGACCTTTTTTGTTCCTTTTATTTTGACCAAAAGGGTTCAAGGATATTCATATTTTATGAAAACCATTTTTCTAATTCAAACTTCAATACCCTGTATCTGAGGAATGAAGCAACTCAGGACTTGTTCATAGTAACCTTTTTCTTAAAACAATTATCTGAAAAAATTATTATTGAAATCACTGAAATGTCAGGTTCTTACATGTGAGAAAGTAATCAAATCAAATATTGTTATTCCAAGAAGTGAATCAACTAGTGACATATCAGCAGAATTGCGTATTTCTTGAGAGCTCTGAAACATAAACAAGTAGGTGAGTCTGTTGGAGGGTCGAGTGTTTCCCTCCCACAAAAAGTGTTTATATTTGATTCTTAAGCATTCTGTGGTAGCAACCCTGCTCTGTGATCAAGTTTTAATGATTAATAACTCCAGGAATTGACAGAACTCGAAAGAATACTATCATTTATTTTTATCAGCATACTTTAGGAATTGATCGCGAAAAATAAATAATAGTCACTCCACAAATAGCATTGCAATTTTATTAGATGTTTAACTCTATACAAGTATATCGCCGGTAGTCACACGTGGCGATCGTTTGTTACCTGAATGTTTAGTGGTAAATCAGAGTCCCTAGCACTCCTGTACTAGAAAATACATATGCATCAACAGCATGTCATAACATTTTGATTGACATGAAGGGTGATACATCTTTGGAGTACTGTTATCAAAAAAATCGATAGAACTTTTTTTTGTATGCTACTCATTAGTTCTCACTAAATTCAATGCCATACATTATTGATCAAAGGAAGGAAAGAAACCTTCAAATAATCTCCACACAGTTCAATGACGTTGTTAAACAACCAGGGACATGTTTCGGTCTCAGAAAAGACCATCTTCAGCCTAATTAGAAGTTCTACAATACAAAGAAGTTGTTGGTATGAAAGAATTAAAAGTATTTTTCATACCAACAGCTTTTTTGTATTGTAGACCCTTAATTAGGCTGAAGATGGTTTTTTCTGGCCTGAAACATGTCCCTGATTGTTTAACAACGTCATTAAACTGTGTGGAGATGACTTGGAGCTTTCCTTCATTCCTTTACCTATTCCACTCCCCTTTGAGGATTATGAAAATTCAATTTGATGCTATTAAAAATTGATGTTTGTTCACAAAATCTGTGGAGATATGTATGCCAAATACTCAACATTATTGAAAAGATCAATAATTTCCAACGGTAAAATAAAAACCTGCAAGGCTTCAGAAATTCAAAACGGCTTGAAATGTGTGCATTTTTCAAAAGTGATCAGGAGGGCCAGACTCAAGATATTGAATAATGGAATTCATGAATGTATAGAAATATGGCGTACTGAAGAAATAATGTTCTATCGATTTTGCTATCAACAGTACTCAAAATATTATGACATGTTATCAATACATACCTACTATAATAATCCATGTATACCCACAAAGTCTCGGAGCTATATCTATCAATAAGAACATATTCATGATTCATAGAGGTTCAACAGAATTCTTACGATTTCTGGAGCATTAGTCATCAAAGCTTGATCACCCTGTATATCGTTGCCTGACAACCAGCCTATTCTATTCTATTCTTTCAAAGTGGCTGATTATAAAAGTTTGAATACTTAGTAACCAGAATGGTTGATGAGATGTCTCACAATTAAATTCTTATTAGCAATTTTAGGTCGTCTACGCGAACAAAAACAGCATGAAGTTAAATGCAGGGATGTCCACTATTACTTCCGCGAATTATGTTGTGAAGAAATGCAACCTTGATGTTTCTTCCGAGAAGAATGCTGACCACGCTTTTATCCAGCTTCGCTAGAGGAACCAGAGGAGAATCAGTCTGATTGTAGCATCCATATTGTAAAGTAAGAATCTTATTATTTTTATCGTTTTATAGAATCGATATCAAAAAAGATTATTTTTAAAACAGGGTGATTCATTAGCAAATGAGCATAAAAGGTAGATGAAGGACACCGAAGTGCTTCTAAATAATCTATTGTTAGCGACGATGTTCAAATCACCCCGTAAATGAGAAGAACGCCTAAGGGATGCCTTATCACAAGCGGCCTCCACGACTCATCGGTATTCGTAATCATCGTGTATTCGAAGAGATCAGTCAACTACCACCGTAGCCTCAGAACGAATCACTTGCCGATGTTGTATTTTTTTATAAACGGTCATCTCTGTACAAGCCGTCCTGAGTGAATAAAAATGTGTTGAGTGTTGAAATTATGCACGATGCCTCCATTTAGAATCTTATACTATATTTTATGCACTAGCGGCCATAAAGTGCACTTTACCGCCCAGTTTTGCGGGCGTTAAGTCACACTTTACCGCCCGCGGGCTCATTATGGCCCACGGGCCGTAAAGTGCACTTTACCGCCCGCTGTTCTTAGTTACCTTATATCCACATATCAATTCATGAAAAACCTATGATCATTTTCCTAGATTCAAATATATCCAGCGGTATATCATAAACTTCTTCTTCATCCGATTCCATAGTCTCGCTATTATTATTATCACTAATTTTTACTTTTCAGTCAAAGAATGACAATTCAGCTCGTTTATTGAATGTATTCCTATAGACAACAACCATCAGCTTTATTGACAACGTCAAAGCTAGTTAGGTATATTGTTAAGTCCTCGGACTTTCCACCATAATATTTTTGTTTACTGTTCATGTTAGGTTTTAAGAATCAATTAGTCTCATAGGGGTAGGAATATGATTCCAATATTATCTACTATCCCGTTCCGTAACTCATATATAAAAATGTCGCCCTGTAGATCATACGCGCAAATTGCTCGTCAAATGGCTTTTTCTCACCTACCGCGAAAAAAGAAGGTCGCGTGCGTACCTGTGCTGGTACGACATCTCGGACAGTGGTCAATAAATCTTTCGATAGCCCGGGCGAAAAACACTCAACCGAGGAAAACTATTACCGGAAAACTCAGTGCCGGTATTTCTCGTGTGCTCACCCCCTCATTACAATACAGTCCACTCCGAAGTAGCCAATGGTTAAGTGGAAGTCAGCCTGAAGCCGAATCAACGGATTATTCCAGGTAGGAAAATAAAGGGCCTGTTTGACGATTCGAATCAACTATATAGGGTGACTTTCTAACTTTAATCAAATATCTCACATATATAATAATATACTGGGTATGCATATTGTGAAATTCTGAAGAATGAATCACTTCTAGAGATCAAAGAGTTTTACTATTACGATTAATTGCAATATTCGTTCTATAATTTTCATATGTAAATTATCCATGAACATTACGCTTCTCTTGATTACTGAATTGATACGTAACAAATTAAATTAGGGGGGATATTAGTTTATCGAAATCTATAGTCATTACGTTTGAGTCAAGAAAAAAACCACTAGTGCATAAAATTTTGTATGTATCACGTGCGTGAAATGCATTTATGGCCTTCAGCGTGTAATGGCCCTCGGCTAGCGCCATCGGGCCATTATTCACGCCACAGGCCATAAACGCCTACTTTACGCCCTTGATACATAAATAACTATAATGGGTCTATCATTCTTTATAACCAAGATATGGGATGATTTATTAATGTTCAATTAATCATAACTTATGAACCAACCAATACATTCTTGTGACATTTGGTTCGTATGTTCTTCGTCCACAGTGGTGACGATTAATATAATAAAAAAAGTTTAATTCCAGGTCAGGCCTTGACAAAATTTATAAGTAGGTTTTGAGTCGAAACAACACCCTGTATATCAATATTTTGAAATTTAATTTACAAATTTGGAGAGAACAGGAAAAAATGAGTGAGACTGAATGTATTTGGTGTTTCCGCGTACATATTGTTAACCTATTAACTTGAGTCAAATCAAGATGCTTCGATAATGAGGAAGCACGAAATTTAAAAAAATAATTAGTCGTCCCCAAATGGTACTTTTCTATTTTGTATCGATGAAATCATCAACTATTTCTTATTCTCCTAATTTTTGGATCCCAACCCAATCGAAAAACGATAGGACAAGTCCGTATTTGGGACAAATTATTATGATCAATGACTAACTTCAAACAAAATTATCATATTTGCTTATTGCACTACATTCAGAACAAAAATTGTGAAAATAAGGAACAATGCCGATTCCGAAAAAGTCAAAAAGGACGCACGCACACATTACATGGGAAAATATCTTTCAGTGAAAATGGCTCGATTTTGGCTATGTTGTAGCTGAAGTCATTCTAAGTAAAATACTTCATTGACATAGAGAAAGAAACATGATTAATTCCATTTATGTTTGAGGCTGCCGAGCTCAATGAAAAATGTGAAAATCTCATGATATGGAATCACCCCAAAATGGAGATTAGATATGCGATAGGGAGTTATTGAGATTGGTTAAAGGTAGGCATGTGGCCTTAGGGCACAGAATAGATGCAATAGC